TGTCGAACGGTCCCACGCCTGTCACCGGTGCCGGTATGCGGCCCTCAGTGAGCATGCGCTCGTGGTACCTCTCAGCATATGTAGGCTGATCTTCGGGGCGTGCACACCGCGGTTCGACAACAAGAATACACTCATTGTCTTCCGGTCCGGCTGTGCGGACGGCGTCAACGAAAACCTTTGAAAGCTCGCTGACCTCCTCGACAACGCCCGGAGAACGATGCAAGCACCGAGGGCACTGTCCCTTGCACGCCTTTGGCCCCATATACGGCCAGCTATTTGCCGCGCTCATGTGGGTGAGACTGATAGAGCAGTCCGGCACCAGCTCCATGAGCATTGCATGGGTAAGGATACCCGCCGCAACAGATCTGTGTCTGTTGGCCTTGCAAACTACGTGGACTGCAATGGACCTGATTCCCGCATCCTTGGCATCGAGGATGTTCGCCAGAATATGCCTGGCGTGCGCAATCAGGTTCGGATGCTCGGCATTCTCCCGAATTATATCGGGGTTCGACCCAACATGCTTTGTGCGGTCCCTGTTCATCGCTGGCACGTTGGGCTTCGGCGGGCGTCATGCCATCTCGCCTATCGTCCTTTAGCCACACCATGTCCAACATCACTAGCATATAGCTAGTGGCAGATGCATGCGTCGTTATGGCGTATGTCTCCATCTCTTCGTGCTGTGCGAAGAGCTCATCAGCGGTCCACCTGCCCCTGACACGCTGCAACCAGGCATGGTGGTCGAAACCCCATGTGAAGACATCAATGATGATGTCCGGGTTCGTTGTATCCCCCGCATAGTGTGGCTGCAGCTTCAAATCCGGATTATACACGGATGCAGGCAACGGCGTGTCCAGCTCGGGGCCGTGCGGTCCAGCACCTGGCATTATAACCAGGGGTCGCCCACGCGGATCTCGCTTCACTACCGCATCGAAGGCGGCCAAGTCGCGGTGGCCTTGGGCGATAGTCTTCGGGTGCACTGTGGCACGAGCAGCGGGAATCCCCGGGTTATACCCGGGTGGTGGCCCCTTCGGCGCGGTCGCCGACACATAGCCGGGCGGCGCCTTCGGCTGGGGCACTGGATCGGGAGCGGCATTATAGCCGCCCGAGGGTGCTTTCGCCATGGCACTGTGGCCAGGCGCCGGCGCTGCAGGTGCCTTCGGTGCAGCCTTCGCCGTGGGAGGCGCCTTCTTAGGCAGCTGCCCCTCTGCTGCGGCCATCGCGGTGGGCTCCGTGTCTCCTACGGACGTGCCTACCATACAATGATTCGGAAACGCTACGCTTATACGTCGCTTAGTGTTGTTGCGATTCTCAGCTGACGTTGTGAAGCTGTGACCGTGGCCTACGCCTACAGTGCTGTGACCATGGCCTGCACCTACAGTACTGTGACTGCGACTTGTTGCCGCTGCATCATCTGTCGCTGCTGCATCTCCGGGGGGTCCGCTCACAGGTCCTGAGTGAGCTAACGTGGCAGCGGCGGCAGACCTAAACATAGGAACTGGCGGCGAGGGAATCTGGAAACCCTTTATGAGGCGTGGTTGCTTAACCTGAATCAAGCCTTCTGTTATGTTTATGCACAACAGCCCTGAGTCATGTGTCCGACACAACTTGATCTTGATGATAGTGTCCTCCGAAGGAAGCCGAACACCACACACGCCAAACCGTAGATCTTTGGTTATACCAAGCTGGGCCTGCGCATAAAGGGACAAGAGAAGAGGGGCGGTACCCTTAATCTCATGCGAATCAAGGACGCCTGGAACTCTCAAGTCCTGCTCCAATCCCATTATAGAGAAAGGTATGGTCCGGCTACCCAAAGTCTCGGTAGCGCCGCTAAGACCCTTGAAGGTACGGTTCCCTTCAGGCTTAAACCTCGTGCTGTAACCGAAGTTCGCAAGTTTCCCCGCCGCGTTTGCTATCCAATCGCTACCGTGAACAGTCGAGTTACATCCCTCATCTAACACGGCGTATACATGCTCGTCCTCGTAGATGTTTACTACGGGCAAATCAACCAAAGCCGGATGGATATCTGTGACCCCCTCGGTAAAAGCCACGAAGGCGTGCCTCGTCGCGGAGGCCCTCGAAGAGCGCGACCTCGCCGACGCCACTTCCCAACTGTTGTTGGTCGATGGCGCTGAGTGGTCATCTAAGGCCTCTTGCAGGTATGCGAGAAGGTCACCGCGAGATATCACGGGCTCGGTTACAAAGTGACCCTCTACGGTCTCTTGAAACTGGGCAATAGCCGGAACTACTACCTCTACGGGGAGGCTATCCCCCGTGCTTCCGACTATGCTGCGCAGGAGATCGAAGTCCAGAGTGTTGGACTCCCGCAGCACTGTGGCTGCGTCATCCCTAGCCTTTCGCTCGGTCTGCGGCTGCTCATCTAGAAGCATCCCACAAAGCTTGCACTTAATGCGGGAAGTCTTCCTGCTACTACCCGACCTCTCGGTGGAGGTGTGTGGGCATGTAGCCTGGTCTATGACAGGCTTTTCTTTTTTCGTCTTTGTAACTGTGCCGCATTTCTTGCAAGTCCGCATGTCTATGTATGCATTGCTTCCCGACTTATTGAACTCCTTGCACCCTCCCCGGCATTTCCGGGGGCCTTCGCTGGACGAAGCAGCTGAGGCGGCGAGGCGAACCTCGGGCTGAAAGGGTTCAGGCGGGGGCTCCTGACTGAGAGGAACATCTCTTCTTGTAATACTGATGGGGGTATCATCACGCACATCAAAGTACTCTGTGGTCCAATTCAGGAAGTCAGCCAACCCTATGGATGGGCACTTCTGCGTGCGTCCCCAAAGGATATACCCGGGGTATGTGTAGAGAACACGCTCATACGTCAACCCCTTATGCTGGCCGAAAGAGAAAACGCGATCAGAACCCGGAGGAGGGCTATCACGCATGATCCCTGCGGCGGCTGTGCGCCGAAGCTGCGGTGAGAAGAGGGTTTCACTGCCGCGGCCTTTACCGGTATTGGTCTTTGAGGGAGTCAGCTCAAGGTTGGCTGGGTAACCCTCGAGCCTACCAGCGCTCGCATTCGACAGATGGACACACTCTGTGTCATCCTCCTCCACTGCGGCGAAATACGCCTGAGGCTTCGGCGCCGCCGACTTTGCGGCTGCATTGGCAGTTCCCCCAGACTGTGCTGGGGTTGCAGTTCCCTTGGGGCCATTGCCCTTACCGCTAAACTTGCAGGCAGCATCTCCGGCCCAATGGCCAATCACACCGCACTTCAAGCACCTACTCTTAGCCTTAAGCTCTGCAAGCTTAGCCTTGCGGTCAGCAATAGTCAAGTTACTACGCACGACCTTCCCGCCGGATTTCCCGGTGGGCTTGCCCTTGTTCTTCCCCTTTCCTTTTCCTTTTGCCTGGGCAAAGGCGGTCTGTGCCGCGTATGCAAGCTGAACTGACTCGGCGTAGGAATCGTCCAAGTCATCGACCTCAGCTTCGTATGCCACCGCCGTATAGGCGTTGAGTTGCAATGCTAGATCCTCATCATCAATCCATTCATCCGCATCACCTCCCCCAGACGCTGTGGCCTGGTACGCTTCATCACCGTAGCCGTCACCGTAGCCTTCCGCGGATTCGTGCTGTTCCTGGTGATCATACTCTACGGCACTGCCGTATACTGCCGTCATATCCCATATAACCGAACTTAGGATATTGGGGCTTAGCGTCAAAACGTCTCCAGGTCCTACCTGGGCCACTAGGGTCCTTCTGGGTCAGAAGACGTTCCTTCATATGCACCACTGAGTGATGCTGAACAAGGACGCGTGCGTACTCATCCACACTGTGCATGCGGGCAGCGGTCTTGACCATTAGCTGTTCGGACCTATCCAATCCCGAAAGCTCAACAAGGAGGTTAGCTCTCATTGTCTCGGAAAGACGGATATCAGGGTCCAGCTCTCGCAAGGTCGACCACCACCTCTTTCGGCGGGCTATGTAAGACAACATAGGCTCGCCAGGCTGTTTTGCAAGTGGGCCCGTCAGGAGCTGTCCCTGACGGAAAAGTTCGGACGCCTCTTCGGATTGAAGAGGAAAGGCTTGCCTCCTGATTTCCTCTATCAGGTAGTCAATGCCGTCATGCCGGAGCAAACGTTCCAAACCGACGTCGCGTGCAATGCAGAAGGCATCCCCTCGGAGACCTTCCAAAATCTTGCTGACGCACTCGCTCATGTCGAGCGATTCGTCTTTGACGTCTTGCAACGTGTACACCGCCGGATCTGTGTCCGGCTCTTGCTCATCGTCGCCCGTCACCTGACTGGGGTGTGACTGTGTCGACTCCGCATCCTCATCTTCTGCCTCGGACACGGGCTTAGTCCGCCTTGCACTGGACGGACTAGCGGGTATACCGCTGCTCGCATCACCCTCGGTGGGGTGTGCACTGGTCGCTTGACTGGCTCTGCCGCGCCACTTCCTTGGTGATTCGCTTTTGGACTTTGCCGATTCAGCAAAACGCAAGTCCTTCAAAGCTTCACGCCGCTGCTTTTCCTTATGCTGCAGCACGCGGATCTGTGTCCGGAAGCACCAATCGTGGAACCCAGCAGCTGACCCGTCGTATATGTACGAGCCGCTTTTGGTCTCGGCAGGGCTCAGGTTCTGTGACCAGAGATTGGGCTGGTAACGCAATCCTGCCACGCTCATGGCTTCGAGGATAGAAGGGGCCTTTGCGCCGCGACTATCACTACTCTACCCAACGGACCCCGGACCTCAGGCTCAACGGGGGTGAAACACTAGTGGTTGTCCTCACAGCTCCGCTACCAGTTTGAAGCAGGAACTGGATTAGTGAGTGTCCAACCACACAACGAGCGCACTTTTTGATCTGAGCCCAAGACGTCTGTCATACAGGGTGCGTTCAGAACTAAGCATGAAAATCTACGCTCGCATGAGGACATGTCAACACGGCCCTTCAAGACAGGGAAATTTCACACCCCTAAACCCTAAAACCCTCAACCCTAAACCCCCAAAAGCTGCGCCCTGGAAGCTTAGAATGAAACTCTGAAGCGAGCCTCTGCTAGGCTCGGCTTCGCAAGCAACAGCCCGGCAACCTCCCGGTTTCTCCACAAAACTTTCTGGGGCAGGGCGCAAGGCCTTCTATTGCCTCCTACGGGGTTTCAGCACTCCCAACAAATTCGTGCGAGAACAGATAGATAATTAAGATGTAGCACTGCGATTCACTTTCACGAGAGACCGAGCTCGTCACATCACGTGAAGTCGGCTCATCACGCTTGCTCCGCGACACCTGCCGATGCTTCAAGGAAGGGCATGGATACTATGCAAACACCACTGGAGTCGTCGCTTTGCTTGCACTGCTTGCACGTGTGTCCTCCAGACTCGTCCTGCTGTTTCGCGAGCCACGCTCAGACTCCTCCCAGAATTCTGCGCTGCACGACACCAGGTCTGAAAGACCACATCGCACTGCTCCATGCCCCTTTGGCAACCGGGTCCTCCCTCACAATTTGGATGCTCTGCGGCTTCCGCAAGTCCTCAATAGGTTTCATCCATGCCGGTCTCAAAGGCTCCACCAGGCACGTGCAAAAGGCTGAGGGCAGGTCCTCTGCGAAGCCTTGCTGCGACACTCGCAGGTCCTCGCTGGAAAGGACTTCAGCTCAGGAGATGGTTACAACTCCAGAAGAAGAGAGATGATCATGTGCATTCCCTGTTCCCACTTGTCGACTCTGGCTAGCGTTCACTGGATGTCGCACGCTCCCTGTGAAGCCGTGCTCTTCCTCCAGCGTGCTTCTGAAGCTCTTCTGCTCCTTCGCCAACTCCTCTCAGCAGCAGCACAAGGGCAATTGCAGGAGAGATGCGATATCCCTTGGACCTGTAAGCGTACATGGCAACGTGTGGTTGCCGGCCCTCAGAAAAGAACGTCTCAGGCAGCAGCTGCACAGCAATCTGCAGTTCACTTAGAACTTAGGCCCTGGAGGCAAACGCTCAGCAGTTCGGGAACATGCATGGATCACGAGACCAACCAGAACCTTTTGCAACTGGCCTGCTGTGACTTCACAAGGACGAAGAGTCGACCAATTTCACTTCACTTAGTGCGTAAGCGACTCGTGCGCTCAGGCCCAGATTTCACAGGTAAGTACGGTTTGACGAAGTTAAAAACCTCTGACGTTACGAAGCCCCAAAGTCACCCTTGTAAGCCCTTAGCTTACCTAAGCACCCCGAAAGATCCGGAGACTCGGTCCCGGATCCTGCAAAGCCCGTCTGAAGCTCTGCTGCTGCTCCTGAAACTCCTGGCCATCAGGACCAACGTGCTTTGCAACCATCGCCTAGAACCAGAACACCAACCAGATGAGGAAACAGGACGTATTGCCATCCAGATCGATACAATATAAAAGTCTATAAAGACTGCAATGCAAGCAAGCAAGCAAGCCAGGAAGGAACGAACGGTTCAAGAGAAACTTCTTCCTTGGTCATTGGTGGTCGTCACAAAGCATGGCGACACATGGTGACGAAACCTCGCTCACCATGAATGAAGGCAAGAAAGCCGACCGCTGCTTGACGACCGCTACTTCACCGTAGTGCCGCTTCGCCGCATTTGCCCGTTCGCCAAACAAACGTCTGGAATGAGTCTCGAAGCAAAAGCAAAAGCTTTCGGTCAGTGACATACTGTTACACGGCCTGTCCTCCAGACCCGTCCTGTTCGTTCGCCAGCCCTGCTCGCACTCCTCGGAATCATCTGGAGCGCTTGGCCATGCCAGTTCGGAAAGACCATCGTCAAGCGAGTCCTCCCTGACCATGCGGACGATCTCGCCCTGCTGCAAGTCCTCACGAAGCACTGCAATCCCTGATCCCATCTCTGCATGAATGAGCGTGCACAAGGTCCTCTGTGAAGCCTGGCTGCGACGCTCGCAGGTCCTGGCTTCGGCCCAGCCAATGTGAAAGAAGAGAAGGCGCAGGCGCAGGCACTCTCACGCGGCGAGACTCAATGCGCTCATGAGCTGAAGCAACGGACTGATCGACCTCAACTCATGTTGTGCAGCTTTTTGGACTTTCCTCCAGCATGCTTCTGAAGTTCTTCTGCTCCTTCGCCAGCTCCTCTCAGAAAGACAACTCTGCACGCAAGCTCACCCCTGCCCCCACAGTTCCGCTGTTACATGCCGGCGCTGACACGCAATGCGCAGTTGGCCTTTGTTTTGATGGCCCCGAAAGTCCTATAACCTCCAAACGGTGCAGGTCGCGACAAGAAAATTGAAACGCCTGCATGGCCAGTACGGAGCTCCGTGCTCATGATCCATGAAGCGTCCATGCTCAAAACCGTAGTCTGAGCTAAGCCAGGGTGGTAATGACACGATTTCGTTTCGTCCACACAAGATCTTACGGCCTTCCATTCCGATTGGCACGCATGCGCCGCCCAAACAAACAATTGTTGAGAAGAAGCCCCGGCACTTGGCGACAAACCTTGTTTGCTCCTTGAGCGGCTTTTCCTTGCACTTGCCGGTGCGAAGTTTTTTTCTGCTTGTTGCACATCCAGGCAAGCACGTTTTGGTCATTTGTTCTATTTGGCGAGCGTGCACATACCGGGCTGGGTCAACTTTCTCAACTGCTCGGCAGGTGCCTGGGAGCAATCCGACTTATCAGACTTGTTGTTCGGCAAGGTTGTGCCGAGTGCACCTTCGTTCCGTGAATTTCTGGAGCTTCTTAATGTTCCTTGCCATCCATTGGCGCTGTTTGGCATTGGGGGCTCGGGACTTCGCGTTGCGGACTGCCGTGGAGGGATCGACTTTGATCTTACTGCAAGGAAAAGAAAGTCGGGGCTCGTAGAAAAGAGCCCAAACCCTCCGCCCCAAAAATTCCCCCCCCCCTCTGCCCTGCAGCACAGACGTCTTTCCTACACATCGCTGTTTAACAGCTGCAGGAACTGTTCACCGAAAGCTTCGGTCCTCCACCTGGCTGAGGACCAACTGTCGAAAGTCCTCCACCACGGCTTTCAAGCGGATTTACTGCCAAAACGACCAGACCATTGCCTCCAAATTCACTAGCAAGAAAGCCAACAAGCGACCTTCGAGGGCGCCTTGCGTGTGTGGAGGAGGCAGGGTGTGGGAGACCGCTGGCGATGTACTGATAAAGACTGTGCAACAGCCTGAGCTTACAACCACAAAAACCTCTGAAACCTCAACCCCTCAGGTTGAGACAATTCGAAGTCTCAGGCCCTGCGTCCTCGATCATGCTCTTGGTGGTTTGCTGCTCCTTTTCGCAAGGCACTGCGGAGAATTCTCGCAAGCTTCAAACATCGAAAACACTTCGGGGTCTGTCAACCCAATTTGGGGTTGTCTGTGGGTTGACCGGCGACAGAAATCAAGGGCTCATCAAGCATGTTTCGGCTTAAGGGTTCGAGAACCCTCCATTGAACCCTGAGGGGCAAATCGTGAAACTTTAGCAAAAGTGTCCACAAAACTTTGACGGCACGGTAGGTATGACACTGACAGCCCCTCGCAAGCGACGCCATGCAGCATGCTCAACCATGCTGATTCCAGAAAACACATGGATACATGTGGACATGTGTGCCTGCACAGGTACGTAGATACATACATACATACATACATGCAAGCATGCATACATGCGCAGCTACTACGGCGTGCACACACACACACACAAATACATGCACATGTGTAGATCCATGTGTCTGTTTGTCTGCACGTGTATCTACTTTCATAGTGGCTTCCCTCCCATTCCTGTGTGCAAGAGTTTGCTTTCGCATACTCTTGCTGCAGCTTATGACTTTAAGCCTTCTCTTGGATGTACTTGTAAGCACGTGAACATTTACCTTCTCACACCCGAAACATGTTGACCCTGTACAACTGCTCTCCGGACAGTAGCCCCGGCAAAACGAAGCTAGGCCAATTCTGCCAGAATGGCTGGCAGCGACAAGCGACCGTCCGCGGCCGTACACGTTGGCACGCCTAGCTCAACCCGTAAAACCCCAAACACTGACACCCCTTCTCGCCTCTGTTTGCACTCCAGAGTCCAACATGTATAAAACCCAGAAAGCGCTCCTCCACCATGCAGAGCTGGGACGTTCGGAACTCCTGCGAGGCTCCGAGAAAGAAGTAAAAAGCTGCTAGCTGCTAGGATTCGCTGGATTTCAGAGTTTAGGTCGTTTAAGCAAACTTACGGTGTCGGGGCCTTGAATTTCGGGGTTTGGAGCCTCTGAAATTTGGCGGCTTAAGGGGTCCCAGAAGCTCTCATGCCGAGTTCAGGGCTTGCTTCGAACCCTCATGCTGCAGATCCTAATCCTAATTACTGATCCTACGGTCTACTATTGAGCGCCAATTGGTTCTTGAAACCGAGACAGGCAGTCCCCAAACCGGCGCCGGAACCCCGCTGAGGAGAGTCCTCCAGCATATGTCTGACGCTTGGATGGTCCTGCGAAGTGGTGAAGCAAGGCTTCATGCAGGGGCATCATGAACTAGAAGACGGGCTTCAATGAGTCAAAACTGTTCGGAAATTTTGAAAAAGTGATTGATTTATACCCGCCTGGAACGACCAAAATTGGCTCTCTGCTCAGGTCCTTCTGATGGCGCTCTGGTCACGTTTTACTACGGGTGCCCACCGTTTCGGATCGCGTTCTCGGGGTGTCGCATCACACGGGGGAGTTTCAACCCCGGGTCGGCGGCTTCAGTCCCGGGCATTACAAAAGAACGCAGAACACGCAAAGATCAGTGGCAAAGCCTTGCAAAGCACCGTTGGGTAACACAACCAAGAGAACAGCAACAGCACACAACGAGGACAACGACAGGCACGACGACGGCGAAACAAGCTCACAGGCAAAAACCAACAACAGGCCAGTAACACGACCGCGACCGGAGACGACGACGGCTGCGAATCGTTCACCAGATACAGGAGGAAACAAGCCATGCTTAAGGAAGGGCCTGGTCTCTTTGCTTTTTGACATATGGTCAATGGCCATCGCCTCGTGACGGGGCTTGTTTGTGAGCAAATCAACCGCCATCGTCTGTTGAGGGAAGCAGCTTCACGAAATGGTGTGAGGTCGAGGACGCAAGCGGCTGATCAAGGGTGTGCTGGGGGTTCCTGCTTAGACAGTGGTTGAGCAATCGCCATCGCCTCATGAGCAGCCGGGTCTTAAACCGAGTGATCAAGCTACCATCGCGAATGAATGGGTGGGTTTCAAGAGATGTGATCGACCGAAATCGTCCGCAGTAAAGGCAACGGCCGCCATGTCTGCGACAGCAAAAACCGTGAAAACAACAGCCGTGCCTTCACCGAAGGTTTTGCTTACCTTCACCGTATGGTTTGGCACCAAGCCGCAACGGTCGCTTGCCTCCACAATTTGCTTTTTCAGCACCAAAACCACGGTTGCCTCCACCGTGCGCCACCGCGTGATTACCCGCTTGCCTTCACCGTGTGTCTGGGACCAAAACCACGGTGAAGGCTTCTGCATGGTGAAGGCAGTGGCGGCTTGCCTCCCTTGTGTGTTTTGGACACCCAAACAATGGTGAAGGCAACATCATCTTGCCTTCTCGCTGTGTTACTGCACCAAAACCATGGTGAATGCAACGGCTGATTGCATTCACCGTGTGTGTTGGCACAAACCCATGAAGGCTACGGCCGCTTGCCTTCTCCGTGTGCTTTTTGCACCAAAACCAGTGTGAAGGCAACAGCCGCTTGCCTTCATCTTGTCTTCTTGGAACCAAAACCATGGTGAGAGCAACGTCCGTTTGCTTTCACCGTGTGCCACCAACACCATTGAAAGCAACCGTGTGTTCTGGCACCGAAAGCAAATGAAGGCAAAGGCGGCCGTGATTCCGGCACCAAAACCATGATGAAGGCACCGGCGTTTGCGTTCATCGTCTGTTTTTGGCGCGAAAACCATGGTGACGGCTACGAACGTTCGCCTTCACCGCACGTGTTTCGCACCAAAACAACGGTGAAGGTAACGGCCCTGCAACGGCGGCTTGCCTTCATCGTGTGTTGTGAGCCGCTTGCCTTCACCGATGGTTTCCGCCACCAAAATGATGGTGAAGGCAACGGCCGCATGACTTCACCGTGAATGTGTGTGTGAGGCCGAAAACCATGGCGAAGGCCAAGGCCGCTTGCCGAAACGTTGCGATCAACCGCGCTCGCCCAATGAGGAGGCTGGTTTACACACAAATGATACTGCTCTTAGTCAGGGGGCTGGGTTAAAAAAACTGATCAAATGCATTCGCCTAATGAGCGCATCAATGCCACCTTGCAAGCTTGGAGTTTCACGCTTTGGGAAGATTAGCAGTGCTTTTTGCAAGCTGGGCCCGAAACCCGAAACCCCGGTCCGAAACTGGACACCGAAACTTGCCACGTCACGAGAACCCTGAGACTGGTACCTTCCGGTTTCCTACAGCGGACGTCCTCGCCGGGTGCTGCAAGCAAGATGACGAAGCAGCCACTTTAGACTCTCCAAACTCATGCATGGGAGCTCCCAGAAGGTCTTCCGCGTCCTGCTTGGGCCGAGAGCCGCGCAAGGCTTTCCCGGGCGACCCGGCGAGGGAGGGAGCCGAAGCACTGGAAATGAGATCCTGGCGGGGCTTTTTGGTAAGTTGCTCTCGGGCCCGAGGCGGCGGTTAAAGATGCAGGAGCAACGGTCTTGCTGTTCAAGGCTCTCGGCAAGGCTCTTTCGGAAGAGACATCCCTTGACGGCATATGCTACACGCATCCACCACACAACGAAAGCCTGAGTCGGAAAAAGCCTACAGCTGAAGGCAAATCGCAATTTATCGTGTTGTTTGTTTTCTGTTTTTTGGGTGGAGAGAGGTGTGGGGGTTACTTCAAGAACACACAATCTCAAATGAAGTGCTTTGTGGTACAACTGAACTTAACATACCAAAAACACTGGAGCAAAAATAATGCAACAAAACATAATCTACTAAAATATGATGGAAAATAGCGTGGCGCATTTCAACATGATATCATGAATTTACTTAATACAGTACAGCATACTACACTACTGACGAATACAATAGCATGAAACACAATATATATTATGCCATATTGTAACACACATTATAGGTAAACAAAAAGGAACCGAACATGAATCTTGATGTATGTAACAACAGCACGGAGACGAGTAATAGTGCAAGATATGTTGTCAATAAATATGTTGGCAACATAACTCAACATAGTCTCGATAAGGTGTTCATATACTCATGTAGCACCGATTACGATTATCGAACACACTATTCCTGTTTTCCTTGTATTAGCATAACTCGAATTCACTATTGATACAGATCTGCATAATTTCAATATACTTATAATATTGTCCTAATACCAGTATAATATAGAACATCAGAACTTTTTGTATGATGTCATCTCGTTCAATTAATGTCATCATGGTATGTTGCGTAAGCTGAAGTTCGCGGTGTACTGCTTCCAAAACCGCTTGTACGTAAACAAGAAAATGAAAAGCCAATAGACTCTTCTCCCAAGAGAGCACTCTTCACGAAAATGCACACCCACACTTCCAAAGCTTGCCACAACATCCCAGACCACTCTCAGCTCCGTCGCTGGAGCCGCCACTTCTGCCGCTGCTGGACCCTGCAGAAAACAACATCGTATGCAATAAGAAATCAGGGATCACCCACACCGCCCCATGGCGCAAGCCCCAGACGGCAACAAGTGTTCATACTTTGATGGTACATACACGGCATGCCGGCAGACAAGCAGAAAGACTTGATCATGCCAGGACAAACGTCGCTGGGGAAGCCTGCCGCGTGGTTTTCAGACCCTCCAACAAGGAGTGAAGCTTCTGGAACTTTACATCCAGCTTCTCGTGCACCTCGGCGTAACAAGCGGCTCGGAAGCCCATGTCCGACAGTTTGCCGCAGCGTGCCCTGGCCTGGCTCAGTTCCCTCCGGACCCAGCTGGCAAGCTGCTCAAACTCCTCGAAGAGGCATCTTGGCAACCATCAGGAAGCAGGATGCTGTGCGACTCAAAAGCATGCCTGGGTTTTAGCCGTGTGGGCGACTTCGTCCTCCACCTTCACCACCATGGCCTGGACAACTCCGATGAAGGCAATTGCTGACGAACCCAACCACGAGAAGGGTGCGGTGCCTCTCCACAGCCGTCGAAAAGGGGTTGTGCCATAAGCACTGGCACCTGCTCAGCGATGAAGTTCATGGGTTTAAGACTCCCAAGCCTTACGGCTGCAAGATACTTTAGGCATTAAAGCTGTTTGAAAGTTGGACAATGTTGTTTCCACAGGCCTCCTGAAAGGATGCCCACAGCGTGTTTGGGGCCTTCAAGCAACAAGATCGGAGCATGTCGAAGCATCTTGGTACAACAAACACTTCAATAGCACATAGCGACATCGCCGCCAATCTAAGCGGCATTCTTCGGAATATCTTTTAGCCGGAAAAACGACGACTAGCCGAAAAAAATAGCACACTACTTGGATGTAGAAGCCAAGCTAACATCAAGATGTATCGCGATTCTGGGGGAAAGCGCAGACCAGCACATGCGCAACACAGACCCCTGTTCCATCCTATTCCAGAAGCAGCTGTGGCGCCGGGCCTCCGTTCTGCTGCCATCTGGACCGATATCCTCCGCAAGTTACAAACTGTGTCATGCAAGCTGGAACCACATAGTGTATGAACGGGAACCCCACGGGCAGGACATGCCTGTAGGGCAACATCCACCCGAGATTTCAACATCGCCAGGCTGGTCTCAATGTCGCGAAAGCAGCTATCCCGGTCCTGCGCGAATCGGGGGTTCAGGTCTAATCGCTCAGCACAAAAAGCAAAATGCGACATGGTTCACCGACGCCGGGCCTTGTTGATGCAACACCTGGCCAAACACAAGCCTACACTCCACTAAAATCATCAGGAGTTTGGTGTGTTCCTCCGGACTGGAGCTGGATCGCTTTAACAAAACCCCGTGCGTGGAAGGAAAACCTGATGCAAATGGCTTCTTGGATCCTTTAACGCATGTAGCATTCTCACGATGAGCACCCTCCTGCTAGACACGCAAAAAGGCGGCCTGGCATCGTCCACGAGTAAGTCCATTGGCATTTCCCTTCAGCATACAATGCCGCTGCAGTTGAGTTTAACGGACACAAACATGCATGACTGCGTCCGCTCGCATTGGTTCGCACCCAATAATAGGAAACGCAGCCTCGGGAGCTGCAGAGCTGAGTACTTGTCGATGTCCTGCAATGACCATGTGATGCAACAACGGAAACGCTCAACGGCACGGATCCTCCACCAAGGCATTTATTTCCATTCGGGCTCGGCTAAGTCGCCGTTCCACCTGGGGCCAAGCAAACAACCATCAAGACATGGACAGTAACGAGGGATGACGCTGATGCACCGATACAACGCCCCGCCTCGGCGTGGATCGAAGCCATGCAAGAACTGTGCCTTTGAACGTCCCTCACCGCTCTGCCTGGTTCTTAACGGTTGGATATTCGCAGGCCGATATTGACATGCACACTCCAACGGACGCCCACTTCAAGGCGGCATGCTGACGACATGTGTTACCTTTTTTATGCAATATCCGGCAATGAAACATTCCCATAGATTACTTTACTGGAAGAAGTCTACCTGCCTTTCTGCTCGGGGTGTCCTCCTCCGCCTCGGAAGAATACGATTCGGGCGTGGCGGCGTGGCGTGGCACGCGTTTCGGAGTTCCGAGTGCCGGGCGTCTGCGTCAGGCTGGGAGCATTCCCCGCGCCCATGAAACCAGGATGGAAATTGCCCGTAGCTTGTGAACAAACGAACGCTGTTTAGTATGTTCCACCCGTGCCTGTACCGACATCGGAACACACTCCATATTTAAATCTTTGCTTGTATGCCGCGTACACATTTCCAGTCAACACCTGACATGGCCACAAATGCACACCCACCATTCCGACAGAGCAAAGTAAGGAAGAATACAAGGGTATGGGAATACAAGCACCGGTTAAAACCCGCCGCACCCGTGCACCAGCTCGAACATCTCCCCCACAACCCAACCTTTGCAGGATGCACAGCGATCTGGAGCGAGGCCCGTAGTGCGGACGCAGTGTCAGCACTAGGACCCGAACTCCTAGTTCATGGTCATGCCGGCGGCGAATGTGGATGTGGTTAGAGTCCGAGATGTTGGAGCCCTGTTGTTTTTCATTTTGTTCGGCGGAGCCGCTTTACTGCATTGAAACGTGAGCCACATCAACAGCTTCGACATGAACCGACAGCGGCACAAAACGGCCTTCACAAACCCCTACTGTTTTTTGTGTTTGTCGTAGAATTTCGATCGCATCTGCTGGGCCTTTTTGGCGTGGGGTTTGCAAAGGTGCGAAGGTTCAGCGACAATTCGAACAATGTAATTACCGTGCTGGAAACAGGAATACTTCAACATCTTACGGCAAGACCTTGTCAACTTCGCGAGCATGAAAGGTCTTGGGCCACCACTGCTTCATCTCAGTTTCTAGGATTCTTGTCATGTACGTAAAGATGCTGGTGTTGTTTCTGTTTTTTCGCACCGCCATAACTGCTGGTGCACAGACGCGGCTTGACGAGTTGGGTTGTTCTATCATCCCTTACGTTTCCGGAGGAAGAGATGTGCCGGAAGCTGGGACTGGGAGAACCTGCATTGTGCACATCCTTTGTCTGCAAAACGACACTCAGCAAATCCGCCCGGCAGCACGGCCAACAAGCGATTTGTCCGCTCATGCATGTCCGCTCCAGTGGCCTTTGCCTCAGATCCCCGAACAGCGAATTGCGGAGGACGGCAGCAGCTCTGCGGCACACCAGGTGCCGCCATGTGTAACAGACATCAGGACGTGACCGTAAGAGCGCACCGCTCTGCTCGCGACACGAACCACGTTTTACTGATAGCCTGGCGGGCTAAAAACCCTGTGCGTCGCCAAGCAGGGGCGTGGTGCCCGTATCGGTTTACAGCGTGGCCCTGAACGTGCTTCGTCGAGCCACGCTCAAAAAGATTCCAGGGCGGCAAGAGCCCGCGGTGCTCGAATTCACACGAGTTGAATGACAAGGCGCAGCGGACTCAACGCTTCAGCGCCCGCCAACTTCGCAAGCGAGCACACACAATTGTTGCGGCTTGGGTCGCATAGTTGCGAGCGTGTGCATATCAGCGAAAGCGATGGCAGCGCCTTCGCGACAAGCAACAGAGAGCTGGTGCTTTCCCTCACGCGTCAAATGGGATACGCGTGTCACGTCGCAACACCTCCTTGCCAAGCGCAGCCACCGCAGGAAAGCTACCGCCATGTGGTCGGGCGGCAAAGCACAGCAAACCTCACGTGGGACGGCACTTAACCCCGCGGCTGCGCGGCTCGGGCTGCGAACGCAGCTTAGCGTGGCCACAGGGGGGCAAGGTAGGCAGCAAATCGGTACGCTGGAATACGCACTGCACGACGCAGTCCCCTGCCCCCACCTAAATATCCCCTTTCGGGGACGTGAGGAAGGCGCGGAGAAAATGTTACATAACATCACGCATGCTTCACAATCGGTGCAGATCGCTCTGCATATGCTCCTGCCCCTATGCCCGAGGGTTGTCACATGTGTGGCCAAAGCCTCGAGGCGCCGTACGTCGCTGCTGCACCGCGTGGGGCCCAGCCACGGGGGCGACCTTTCTTCATCTCACCTTTTTCCGCCTGCTTGCGTTGGTTTGGTTTGGCGCTAACCCTTCCTGAGTTACCGTAGCTGGCTGTCCCGACAACTTCTATGTCACGGGCCTGCACCAGCAGGTCGCCCAGCGGCGGCGAGCCACCGTCACACCGCTCAGCGTTTGCCAGCGGCATCTCAAGGAACGACATCGCATACGCCCGCTGGGCCGCCACTGCCACCATCCCTCATGCACCACCCCCGGCGCACAGCTGGCCACAGCCGTGCAGGTGCCGCTCTTGCTTGGGCGCGGCGAGAAATCGCAGGAACGTGACACTTTCCGCCTCAAACCGCCAACCAGCCTCAAGCCCGACGACAACCAACTTTGCAGCGGCGAGCAGCTAAAAGCTCCGGGTGCGTCTCTGGCCGTTTCCGCCATGCCGCCTTGCTGCATCAGGAGTGCCAGCCCGGTACTCGCTCAGTCCGCGGTCGCGCCGTGCCGTCCCAGCACTTCGAAACGGGTGCGTCCGCCAGCGGCTCTTCGATGTTCATATCCCGCAGCATGACGTTGCTTGCTATCCTGAACCAAGCTTTTCGGCAGACACGCGCAGCCGCCCGTTCCAACAACGCGCCGCGCGAGCCAAGCCGTGGGGCATGCTGTGCCGTGGCCACCGAGGGAGTCAAGGAGACTGCGACATCTTCATTGTCGAGGGGATTTGGCACGGGGCGTGCGGCAGTGGGGCACAGAGGCGGCGGAGCAGCTGCACGCGCACGCACTCACCGATCAGGCGCATCTCTGGTGCGTTGGGAAGCACGGTGACAACCCGCGGACCGCAAAGGCCTGCCTGGGACAGAAGCAATGCACGCGAAGCCGAGTCGCGAAGCCCGCGAAGCCCGCGAAGCCCGCGAAGCCGCGCGCAGCGAGCGAAGCCGCGCGAAGCCCCGCGAAGCCGCGCGAAGCCTGCGCGAAGCCTGCGCGCGCGCGAAGCGCGGCCCCTGGAGGGACCATACTCCCTCAGGCACAGGACCGCTGGAAGGCTGCGGCGGATGAATTCCTCAGAGCAGGGGGCCTCGGACCCGGCCTCCAACTTCCCTGCATATCCACGGAACTGATGCCATACCTTCATGGTGAGGACCACGACACCCACCAATACTCCTACTCACGCTTGAAGGAAATGTACACCGAAGGGAACTATCAAATGCTCTATCTCCTGAAGGAGAGTCACTTCCCCTCGAGTGGACGTGACATGCAACGCTTACTCGACAGCTGGCCGCACGAGGCAGCGACCGGCTCCACTAGGTGACCTCCGCCCTATGCGACCTAGGACCGACGACATACGTCGTTGTGTCGATATTCTGGAGGCGGAGAGAGCTACTTAGCCCTGAGTAACATTGCGTCTCATGAGACGGGCAAGCGGTATCCCTCTGCCCTGCATCCACTGTTCGATCAGGTCGGCTCGGCGGCTCATTCCTCTGGCCCGCTGAGGGCCTCGATCTGATGGCACGCCGACCGACGACATACGTCGTTGAGGTCCGTTCGCTAACCTTCGCACACCAGGCGATCCCCACATTCCACACCCTTGCCTGGTCACTTGCACTGTGCGCCGACTTGGTTGCGTCGTGTTGGGCTGCCAGCACGTCGACGTACGTCGATGTCCGTTTTCTGACCCCTGCACGGCCCTCTCTTCCTTGCATCTTGGCATGTGCGTGGAATGAGATGCCGGCCAACGTCAATACTCGGGCTTCGACATGTTTCAGATTACTTCAGTTAGTGACATCGACCCGGTCTTTGTCACTTTCGCACTGTCCCTTCCAGCGGGGCGCGAACTGCGTGGTCTTGAGGGACGCTTTGACGGGTATGGGCGAAATCTCTTCCAGATGATCCCGGGCGTGCGTATGCCGTCTCCCGCACGAGACAGGACTTTTGCCATGGCTCAGGCTCGTCTTGGGTGACCTGCTACCTTGGAATGTTCTGTGTGTTGCGCTGCCGGACTAACGCACACCAGGAGCTCCACACGGTATACTTCTTTGCCTGGTCTACCTGTGCGCGATGTTTGGCGGAATTGACCGCCGGCAGCCAATCCACCACAGGATTGCACACACCGTGGATCGTCTGTCTCGATCCTGGGTTACGGTCATTTCCGGCCGGGACCGACAGCTCCGAAGCCCTTCTTCCCGGCAAATTGGACTTCTGGACTTTGGTGTGCTCGACCGTGACGAAACAAAGCGCAGGGGCTGCCCGTTGTCTGACGAGACTAGAACGGCGGCCGGAGCTTGGTCTTGGCTCCACCTGTTGCTTTGGGCAGCTCAGGGCGACGGCTCTTTGTTGCTTCTAATCGGTCGCTGAGGCTTCGTAGATGGGTTGAACGGCTACCACCGGTAAAGCCTGTGCGCCGCAGCCTTTGTAGAGCTTCGCTTTTGTCTCACCGCTTTGCATTTTTCAGTTGCTTGTTTGTAGTCTGTTTGTTTGTAGGGACCGAGTGCTACAGCCGTAGTCGACGAGGCCCGCTCAAGCCAAAAAAGCGTGGAGTTTCGCGCTCATGGGCTCTAAGTGCCCACGCGAGCGCCCCAGGGAACGGCGCTAAAAGCGACCGGGAAGCTGCTGGAAGGTCAGGTAGTGTTCATGGTTGTCGTTGATCAGTGGGCAGGAAAGCCCGACAGTGCTCGGTTTTGACTTCCGAGGGCAGGTATTCAAGTCGCTCGAACAAATCGCCATATGGGCTGAAGGGGCACAGCCTGTCTTCACTTGCATGGACGAGCCATAAGGTGAAAGGCAGCTGTAGAATGTGCAAAAATAAAGTCGGGC